AACTGCATGTACCTGAAAAACAAGGTTTCAAGGCAACGGGAACCATGGCATGAACTCAACGGCGAAGTGGTACTAGTCACGGGAGCTTCCTCAGGTCTTGGACAAGAGCTCTGTCTCGATTTGAGCAGAGCATATATATATCATGATCAAGACAAGCAAAATTCGAGCCAAAAGAACAAAACCCGATGCTCGTAATCGATCTGAAGTAACGAGGTTTTTTGATATTTTTGTAGGGTTCTTGGAGCAATAGTGATAGTTCTTGGACTGTACTCTGTTTTGTGGGGCAAAAGCAAAGACGAACCGGCACCGTTTTCGGACATGGACAATGAGCTCCCACTTGGCCGCATTCAACAAGTTGAGAGTGTCTCGTCGGAAGCAAGACCCCAAGTGAAAGAAGTGAGACCAAGCAATGGATCTACCTGAAATAAAACCTAATAGAGACTGTTAATTGGTTAAATAAAAATTTCCGATCCGGGATTGGTGAAACTCCAATTAAATGTTATATGTAGGTTTAATTCTTGAAATTTTGAAATTGCAGATTTCGGATATCTACCTAATCTGTGAATTAGATATTTGATTTTTTTGGTATTCGTCTACCGGTGGGGATGAGTACGAGTCTATCGCCGACAAGAATCCGAGGGGTGAGTTCGAGTTCAGGTTTTGTCCAAAAAATTATCCGTGTCAAACAGGCGAAACCAGCCACGAGGGGGCGAGTGCGATCGTTTACTGGATTCGCTTGATCGACTTCAACAAAATCTCTCGTCCAGCTTTCCTACCTGGTGCCAAGAACATAGAGCTAGCATCCACAGTAGAGTTTCATCCCAAGAAAGCCAGAATTTGTTGTTGTATTCTTAGACCAAACGATCAAGTACAATGTCGGAAATTCGGAATCTCATTCCTATACCGTAGAAGCACCAACCCGATCCAAGATCGAAACCCGTAGATCCCTTACGCAAAATGGTTTATTCCACTGCAACCATCTACAAAGACTATACTTTCAGACAGTGAACCTCCTTACACTGTGTAAAGAACATGTAAGGAAAAGCTTTCTGTTGCACGCGATAACATTTTTCGTTATCCGCTCGAGATCGAGATTCCTATAGGTTACTCTTATCATTTGATGCAATCTAACCAGAAAAAAGGCTCCCTAACTCACGAGGCAGTAGTCTGAAATCTGGCAATCATCATCGGACAACAAGGATTACTTGAACAAGCGATCGATCAGGAGAATGGCCGGGATTCCGCCCTGCAATTCTTGCTGAGGATTCTATTGGTCACAGTACAACCAACTTAAGAAACTCTGCAGAACTATAAGAACTAAAGGAACATCATCGTTCATATCTGACAAAACCTAAGCCCCAGAAATGCTCTATATAGGTTGAAACCAGAACATCAAGAAGGAAGGTTATCTAATCGGTAAAGAGTTGATAAAATCTAATATTCCTTACAGATTACTGATTGAGCTCTTCACAGACACACCATCCATCGGTTTTCATCACTCGTGCGAGCCTTCGCCAGCGGAATCGATGGTTCCAAACTTCTGTTTGAAAGAATCTTGCTTCTGCAACCACATCATGTGTCCCTGTCCGAACCACGAAGAAATACACAATCCATTGCGTCAAAATCAAGCATGAAACTAGAATACACAAGATCGAATTTCGCAAATTCCTGAAACGAACCCTAAATATCAAAACCAGAGCCGAAGTTGTTTCTGCTCATTGGGATTCTTGTAACCAATGGAATCGTACCTGAAGACCAGCAGCCCATACGATGAGGAGCGAAGCGAACCAGAACTTCTTGTCCTTGATGATCGTCTTTGCATCGAAATTTGCCATCGAAGCTCTAGCTCCGAAGATCTTCGTTACGCGAGGAACTCGACAGACGAGTGACGTGGTCATAAAAAGTTTAAGAACTAAAAACACTCTGAGCCAATCAGAGGGTGTCGATTGAACCGGATTGGACAGAACCGAACCAAACCGGGACCCAATCGAAACCGAATTTAATTATATCTCAAATCGGTTTAAATTTCTCAGGAAACGTCGCCTCTTTTCCTTGTAAAAAAAATGTCCCAGACACTAATTACAAACTAATACTGTGGGAAGGAATCACGCTACAGAGTTACGAAATAATATAATTATCATTAGCCCCACACAGAAATTAAACATTAGTTATTAGAACTTCCTTGGGAAATTATTAAAACAAAATGCATTAGATGTGCTTATATTTAAAGATATATCAAAATGCAATACTTATGCTACATTATGAAAAGAAAATGTCATTAAAAAAAATAATTGGACCTTCTACGTCAAAGCTTCAGAGACATTTCCCCACAAGTGAAGTGAAGACAGAGTTTGTCCCTCATGTTAGAGGCAAGCTCATCCCCAAACTTGCACTTCCTCTGCCTGTAACTCATGTCGTGCTGATGAGACACAGTCAAACCATCCAACACTTTGTCATCCAGATCTATGAGGATGTTGTGCAATAAGCAACAGACAAGGATTATCCTCGGTAGCCTGTTTCTGTCGGGCATCCACATCACGCCATTGATGATTCTCCACATCTCCTTCAGCCTCGCCATTGCCATTTCCGCAACCTTTCTTGCCTCGGAGTGTCTTTTGTTGAACTCTGTTTGAGAACTCGACATGGGTTTGCCTTGGTATGGAGTGAGAAGCCATGGGAGAAGAGGAAAACCCGAGTCACCTACTATGTATTCTCTCAGTTCTGTTCCTTCTGAAAGCCGGAGGCTTTCCCCATTCAGTCTCTTTCCTTTCTCAACGAGTTTGTAGAAGCCCGAGTTCTTGAGGACAACGTCGTCGCTTAAACTGCCGGGCCAACCTGCAATTACGTCGAGAAATCTCATATCCGGGTCCACTACTGCCTGCAGTATCATGCTGTAGTTTTTCTCGCTGTCCAACCAAACTTTGTTCGATGGCTCTACAGCTGGAAGGTTCATAACAATGTGAGTAATGTCAATTGCACCGCAACAGTTGGGCAGACCCGAGATTTTCTCAAACTTCGACTTCACTTCATCTGACTTTGCAGGCCAAGAGAGATGTTTAAGCCCTTTGTCTTCCATCGATTCCACAAACCGCCAAGTGATTTGGGAGACAGTAGATTGGTTCATCCCGAAGGATTCTCCGATGATCGATAGAGATTCACCAGAGCCGAGTCTCCGAAGGGCAATGGCTACTCGATCATTGAGAGACAAAGGTTTCCCGTTAGAATCACTGAAATTTGCAGGCCTTGATGTGAAATCATCTTTCACGAGGGAACAGATATAGTTAAACGTCTTTCTTGACACTCTGAGGATTGACTCGACTGTCTTTGGTTCTTTTGAATCTAACAGAGGACCTGAAACATTGAGCAAAACCATAACACAGTCATAAGAATTCAACAGAGAATGCAAGCTCAAAACTTGCTCGTCTTTGAAGCCGATCATCTGCCTTATATTAGAATCAAAGATCATGCTTTGGCTACTGCTAAGCTACCGCACATTCGAAGTCATTAATCGTACAAGCTTGACCGGTTTTAAACCCTACATTACTTTCAAACTAGCAGAAGAATCCGAGTGGGGATAGGTACCTGCACATGATAGATCGTTTTCCTTACACAGATACAGACAGATGCATCAGGAGAAACATGGAGAAATCTCACAGAAAGCTTTCAATAGTTCTGATGAACTTCAACATCTCTGACGGCAAGAACCAAACAATCTACAGATTCTTTGAAGATAATTTGTGGACTCATATACTATTCAGCACATGTAAATCATAAACAAAAATCATTTCAGGCACGTTCCAAGCATATAGTATAGCCATAGTCTAATACACCAGGTTCTTATTTCCATATTTCGGAAATCGAAAAACAGCGAGAAGGAAACTATGAGCAAAAAGTTGCTTGATCTAGAAGGATCAACTTCAAATTCTAATCAATATGCCTCCTCTTAAGCGGCTTCAAACTCGAGCTTCTCAAGCCTAATCAGAACAATTTCAACTCCATTAACCTAACATCCTTCCATGAATGTAAAGCCGCTTACTTAGCAAACACATTGCAAAACAACAAACCCAAAACCAGAGGAACCCTAGTCTACATTACTTGTTTCATGAATAATGCTTCCTTCAAACTGGTAATTAGGAGTAACCCATTTGGAGATTCTGAATTCTGACTAGTGCCCTCCAAAATTCTAACTAAAACCCATCTCAACTGCTCCCATCAGGCGTTCAACAGACACATTCCATGAATCTATTTCGATGTACTCGATATACGAACATGTAAATCACCACCATAGACGAGTGACAAATCGGGAACATAGAAGCTATATCAGTACCTTCCTATAAAAACGAGAACCCGGGTAATTATCAAATTCAATCAAACGCGAGCAGAATGCTTGAGAGGACTGACATATAATTAGTGAAATACCCATAAAACAACGCCAATGCACAACCAGACAAAACCCATTAGAATAGTGAACAGAAGGAACGAAAAAGAGAGAAAGTGGGTTAAGGACAAACCGGAAATCCGCTGCGAGAACTCATCCCACCAATCCAGCGGCGGAAGAGAGCCGCCACGGAGAGATGCGGCGGCGGCGGCGTCCAAAACGTTTTGGTCAACCTTTTTCTCCGCCACTCTCTTCCTCTTCTTGATCCCTTTGATAGGTCCCATTGAAGAAACCCAGCGAAATACTTTTCAAAGTAAGAGCAACCCACCAAAGAAAACCCGAAGAATCCGAAGAAACGATTACGAAACAACACAATAGAAAACGAATGGAGCTTTCCGGGTTGGTGCTTCAATGGCGACTCGGGCTTTCGGTAGTCTGCTTGGTCTTGTGCTCAATGAACATGCGAGCGAGAGAGAGAGAGAGAGAGAGAGAGAAGGGGAGATTCGGGCTAATGTAATCGGAGCTAATAACGTGGGCGTTGGTTTCTTGTGTTGTAAATCTCGTTCTCCTCGCTTTAATTGTTGTACTTTTGAGTAAATTTACTTTTTCTTTTAACTCTGGAGGGTTCAATCGTCTTGTTTTAATCGTGATTATATCATATTTTTATATCGATTTGCACAATATAATATATAAAAGATTATACACTGATTGAAATACTAAAACTACGAAGGCTTTCGTAGTATCGAATGATATTTGTTACTGTATATAATATTTTATTCTACATTTATACTTTTTACTATACAAAATATTTGGATAAACTTGTACATTTTACTTTATTTATATATATATATATATGTGTGTGTGTGTGTGTGAAATAAATTTTAACAAAACTTTTTAGAACAAACCAATCACCGTTTCCTCAAATTTCCTTATAGTTGTTGTTTTATTTTAATTGTTGCCCTTTGGGTAACTCTTTCTATGTTATATTAGTAATGTTTCTCCCTACGAAATATTAGCATAAAAGTTATAGAATATCCATGTAATAAAGTTTTGAAATTATATAGTTCTGATGTAATATATTGATATTATTTACATTTATAGTTTCTTCGAATTCTCTTGCAACAATTGTTTTCTATTAACTAAAAAAATGAGTTTTAGCGTTACCAATTTGTGAAGACGACCATAGATTCGACCATTAAAGCTTTAAAACGGTAAAAAAACAATATTATTATTTTTATATAAAGCAAAATAATCTTGGTAAAAGAAACAAAATATGTATATCTAATGCTTTTACATGGATCGTAATCTTACTTAAAAATTAAAAATCCTTATAAATTTTGTAGATTTTATATGGAAAAAAACTTGAAATTGTATTCACAAAATCATCTAGCTTTAAAATTTCCACGTAATAATGCTTGCTTTTGAGAAAGAAGAAAGCTATTAATTCTTACAAATGAAAAAGAGAAGTATTTTTCTATCGCCATGAAAAAAAAAAATAGGAATTATTATTTTTATTAGTTCAGTTAAACTTCGGTTAAGCCAAATTCAGTTTCGGTTATAACTTTTAGAATTCAATTAATAAAATTTCAAAACTTTTCATTTGTCAATATCTTCATATATATGATTTCCAATATAAAATAAAAAAAAACAATACTATAGACTATAGAGGCATTTCCATTTAGTATTTTATTCTTATTTTTTTTAATATTCTTGATATCTAAAACATTATAGTTTCGAGTTAAAAATAATTAAAAAAACGTATGAAAAAATAATAATGGATTTATTGTGAAGTGAAGTGACGTATAAATTCTTTTTTCAAACGGTGGAGGTGATGTTTTTTTTTTCTTCATCTTTGATATTTTCTTCCTTTCTTTCTTTTTTTTTGTCTGTTTCCGAAGTTGAAGAATTCTTCGTAGACATAACTCTCTCGCCATTTCCATAGATAATGTTTTGTAGAGGCGTACGTTTATGCAGATGCATTTTCACTGCGAAACGTATCGAATTGTTGTATCTCAATTTCATTTGCAAATCAAGTAAAAATGAGATTGTGTGTAGTATCAAAATATTTAAAGATTGTGTATAGTTTCATTTAGTCAATATTGATATGAAGTTTTAAAAATGTTTTTAAAAAAAATTTAAATGATTATTACGTTTGGAATTAGGAAATTAGTGGTTAATAATTCTTTCAAGTAAAAAGGTCTAAAAAGCATGATATGTTTATCTTAGTATGAAACGCAGACAAAAATATTTAGGTTAATGTAATACATATACATGGTAATAAAAAAAATTAAGCATAACAATCTTTTATTTTATATATTTTTTTTTTAAAAAATGAATCGTATGAATCTAAAACAAACTGTAAATATAGCCAAATGGATATCAAAATTCCTTTCACTCAAATAAAATTTTTACTATCCAGTTAAAACCAAAATTAATTTTTTCAATACCGAATTTAATCTAATTTCTAGTAACACCAAAACCAAAACTAAAACACGGAATAAAAAAAAAGTTTAGAAACAAAAAAAGTTTGTTTGATAAAATTTTCGTCTGTGTTGTTGTAAAGTGTTGCATTGCAATTACAAATTGCGAGCGTGGTTAACCAAATCACACAAAAGAAATATTGTTGGTGACCGTAGACAAAAAAATAACTTAGCATTACATCGTTGCGTAGTTGTCCAACTTTTTAAGCAAAAGTAGTCAATATAATTTATACATATTATATATATATATATATATATATATATCTTCATAAAATTAAGAGCTTGTGTTGTGTTTTGATGTTTTAATATTTAATATTTCTCACATTTTATTGAAGTGACTATTTTTATTAAATTATTCGAAATCAAATATTGGTTTGATTTAATCTAACAATATATAATGATATTCGAAAAATATGATATAAAATTAAACGAGTTAATAGAATTTGAACGAAAATCAAATCAAATATAAAAATAGTAAATTAAATAATTTTTTAGCACAACTAAACTTAAAAAAAATCTAATCGAATTCACATTAAAAAATCAAAAAGAAAATTCGAAATAAACTCTTTTTTTTTTTATGTTTGTCTATAGTACCCTCTCTCATACCTATCCTGTAAAAATTGACTGGATACGTAGGTTAGGAGACCACATTTAAATTCCCGGTTCCATGTCCATATCTCACGCATACATGAACAAATTCATAGAATTGCAAAAGTTATATAGTTTAATAAATATGTAATTTGATTAATGAAATAAATTGGGCCAAGACTCTTTCTAGAAGGTTTGTGACAGCGATTCACTAATAAATAGGAATTCTTTGCGTCTTGATACCCCCAAAGTACATGGCATCTTTCGTACAAAAATAATATTGTTTTGTAATATGTGTGTGTATACATAAAAATTAAATAAAGATCTGAATGTGAAATAAGTATTTAAGACCACAACCCTGTTTGTTAGCAGTTCTTTGGAATGTCGGCTTTGTAGAATCTTAAAAGTTCACTTCTCGCTGTTTGTAGTAAACGATTGACCAAGTCAAAAGCTTTTTCTCGTACGTACTTCCAACTTTTTCAATTAAATATATATATATGCGTGTGTGTGTGTGAGTATATGAGAAAAAATATTAAAATTTTAATAAAATCATCTATAATTTATCCAAGAGATTAATCATCAATAAAAATAATATAAAAAATTACATATTAAAAAAAATCTGTCGGAACAGTTACTGGACTCGAGTTCTTATTTGGAAAAACCTTAAATATTCGTGATTCTGTTTGTACGTTGTGTTAATATATTAAAACTAAAGTTGATATCTTAATTTCATTAATAAAACATTAATTGGTTCGTGAGGTTTTTTATGTGATTTTTCCCAAATAAAAATTTTCAAAGACCATAAATTTTTCTAGTAACTAGCTAGTATATATATCTTGTAACCATAAAATTCGTACCAAACGAAATGCATACAAAGAAAAGAATTGTTTAAATCAAAATACTCCTTTTTCCAACAAAAGCATTGTACACATTCAATGGAAATCCATTGTTGTCTCGATAATCTCACCGAAATATAAAAGCTAAACAAAAGTTGCAAATGCGTGTGACCATATCGGTACCCTCTACATATTACGTTTTCAGGAAAAAAATACAAAAAAATGAAGTGTGTATATATATATATATATATATATATATTTCATCGTCAAATATCTAATACAATGACCTTTGTCACTTACCCTACGGCAAATATAATCAACATAAAGTGTTCTCTTTCTCTCTCTCTCTCTCTATATATATATATATATATATATGTATATATAGCATCAAACCAAACAACACAAAGAGGAACTTATTGTCTTAAATTTACAAGTGAATATTGCAACGATCTCTTCTGTTCCTGGTCAAGAACATGCTGCGTCTCTTCCTGTCCTAAGTTTTCTCACATTCTATGTCGTATGTACCAGTCGTTATTGTCATGGATGAACAAGCGACGGACAGAATCAGCGGTTTACCGGACGAAATACTTCTCCGGATCATTTCGTTTCTTCCCTTCGAATCTTTGATACATACCATTCTTCTGTCGAGGAGATGGAGATTGTTATGGAACCAAACTGATCTGGTTCTTCACGGAAACAAAGAAGACATTTCAGGTGCGGTTTCAAATTTTCTTGCGGGTTTTGATGAGAATGATCCCATGAGGAACACTCGAAAGCTGTGTTTCCATTTCAATGGAGGGCACGAAACCCTAGTGTCCATCTTTGCACCTGGCGAGGTGCTTCACTTGAAATTCTCTTCAGAAGAACCAGAAGGGATCGGTCTCAGAAGATTCAGCTGGAAGTTGGAGCTGAGTTCTCATTTTCAAAGAGATTCCGCTTTCTTTGTTAGATCCCTCAACTTATTCTCTGTAACTCATCTGACTAGTGATGTGATCTCATCCATTTTCTCGAACTCTCATCTGCTCGAAAGCCTGAAAATCGTTAGGTGTCTCGGGATGACTTCTCTTCGCGTAGATTCAACCGTCAAGCTCGTTCACTTGACGGTCCTCGACTGTCCTCAGCTTCAGTCTCTTGAGATCGTCTCGTTCAAGCTGAAAACCCTAAGGTTTCGGGGATTTTTCCCGGTTTTTTGCATCACGTATCATTTCAACCTGACCGACGCCATGTTCGATACGAGACAGGGGCTCAGCTGTAACGTCCCAGAAAGCTTTCCGTTCGATCCTGTTCTTCTAACCATCAAGAATTCAGAAGTCCTCACGCTCAGCAAATGGATCTTCGAGGTATGTCGGTCCATCGATCTATCTCTTAAGAATACGTTTACTTATCTTTATATTGTTGTAACGATCGATTGGTGAGGTTTCTGAAACGTTTTTGTAACGATTTAATACGCCGGAATGCAGGCGTTTATCTGCCCGTCTTTATCCATGTTCCGAGCAGATTTCCAGTTATATAGATTGAAGGAGTTATGGTGGATCGATAGTTCGCTGCACCGGGAAAACATCGATTCTCTAATCTCCTTTCTTAAGCTCTGTCCTTCCCTCGAGCGCCTCTTTGTTACCGTAAGCAACAAGTTTTTGAGAAACCCTAGTTTGGCTCTCGATCCTTGTATTATTCTGCGTAGACGTAAGCTCGTTTGCCGAATGCAGAGATGACCCTTTTTCTTGATGTAAAACGAATTCGATCAAGAGCTGAAAAATTCTAATTAAACACGCGAACTATGCATGGACGTTGAAAACCCTTTTCATTAATTAATTTTGTCGAACATTTGTGCAGATTGATCCGGGAAGCTATTGCGTGAACGAATCTGCCGCTTACTCGAAACTAATTGGTCAAAGGACGAGACTGGAAAATCTTGAACTGGTCAGATTAGAAGGATGCATAAACCATGACAGCGATATGTTATCTCTGTCTGAAGCTTTGCAAGAAATAGTGACGACGGAGATAGTCACGGTGTCTTCATCGTCGGTGAAGAAATCTCATCTGAATTCCAGCAAGCGTCGTTATGTGTTCGTCGAGGGAGAAGAGGCAAGAGATTTATGTAAAAAGCATCCCCACATGGGTCTTTGAAATCTGTCTTTTACTCTTTCAGACAGGTTTTTGCAAGGTGAAAGTGATGGTTCTGTTTCTTGGATGACAAGGAACTTATTCTCCAGTTAAAAGGATTCGTGTCTCTCTCTAGATTGATGTGTTAGATCATAGATAGTTTTAGTTTATATTATAACAAAGATACGGTGTGATACTGTAAATTTTATTGGTGAAATTTGGAGGAAAAAAAATAAATTAATACGTTTCTTCTTGCTTGTGGAAATTAAATATTGCATTTTTTTATTCAAATAAGCAATTATACTCGTAATGTCATTTGTATAGAGAGATCTACTCTCTCTCTCTCTCTCTCTCTCTCTATATATATATATATATATATATATATATAGGCAACGCCAAGTACAAAAAGTGCAACAACTTAGATAAAAACAGACACGTACAAAATCAAGATAAGAACATAACAAGAAATCAAGAAACAAGAAAGACTTAGAAGTCATTAGAAGGAAGAGGCTCGTGTCCGCTGCTGCCGCTGATGAAGATGGTGTCATAAGCAATAGCAGCAATGGCTGCGCCAACGAAAGGGCCGAGCCAGTAGACCCAGTGGTGGGGCCCGGGCCCGGCTAC